GGCGCTAACCGAGCTGGGGCCCGAAAGGGGGAGCGAGAACATTGAAAGAACAGAAGGGGGTAGGGAGGGGTGGTCCAAATTTTTGACGTAAGTCACCTCGACTCCGCGCACCAATGGGGAACCAAAGTCATGAACAAACGCTTCATATCATACATATATATATATATGTATATATGTTACGCTCACGCACGTCAGCGTGATAACCAGGCGTGTAAATTCTATTCGTGGCTGTATGTGTGTGCATATTGTGTATGTGAACTTATGAAATGCACGAGTGTAAGTACATCAGAATGTGTTTTTCTTGACATTATATCGAACATCAATAGTATTTCTGGTTTCTTGTTTTTTGTTGTCAAAATGAGAATGTTTCTGGTTTCTATGTGTTTCTCGTTTTTTTTGAGAAAAGGATCCTCTGGGTAGTTAGGAGCTGCAGGCACCGCAGCCTTCGGCGCCTCTGCTGTCCCCGCGGGCGTGGCGGCCCCACACGCTGCGCGGTTGAGCCCGCACGCGCAGACGGGGCCCGCTGGCGCCCCAGCCCCAATGGCCGCGGGGATCGCTGGGAAGGGGGCGGCCGGGTTGCCCGTCCCAGCGGCCCCTTGCCCGCCCTGTCCTGTCCAGGGCGCCGCCGGGGCAGAAGCCGTCTGCAGCGAGCGACGGAGGCGGCGGCCGCGCCGGCGCCAAGAAGTGCCTGGCGAAGCCCAGCGCCTGCGGCAGCCCGTCCCGCTTCGTTGCGCCTGGCCCTTGCGGCGGCGCTCGGAGTGCGGCGCCTGCTGTCGCGCTTGCCCAGGCTGGGCAGCCCTCTGGCCGCGGTGCGGTCGCCGCGGCTGGCTTCGCGAGCGGCCCCGCCACTGCCGCGGCCGGGGAAGCGGCGGCGGCTGCTGCGGGCGTCCAGGCGGCGGCGTCGGTTCCCCCAGCTTCGCCGCCGCGTGCGCCCCTGCCGCGGGAAGCCCGGCCCAAGACACCCCTGCACCTGCGGGCCCCGTGCCCGGCCGGGCGGCGGCGGCCGTGGCCGCCCAGGCTTCGGCGGCGGTGTTGGGCCCGGCGGCGAGGCCAGGCAGGACCCCCGCGGCAGGTCCTGCCGAGGGCGCGGGTGCTGTCGGCGCCGTCGCCCGCCAGTATGTGTCAGCGGTGGCTGAGGCGGGCCACGCTGCGGCGGCGGTGCCAGCTCCGACGCCCGTCGAAGGCGCAGTTGGCTACGCCGCGGCGCCGTCACCTTTCGCTCCAGCCGCAGGCGGCGCCAGCGTCTGCAACCCTGGCGCCGTCCCAGGGGGCCCTCGCGGTGGCGCTGCTGGCGCCGCTGCCAGCGCCGCTTGGTGGAGTGCTTAGTGCTGCAGCGGCGCGCGCGCGCGCCTGTTCTTGGAGTCAGGCCTGCACCTGCTGCTGGAGGAGTAGTTGTTTCTGTTGGGCGGCGGGGGCGGTCGGCGGCGTCGCGCCCTCGAGTCCGGCGGCTGCGGCGGAGGCGGGCGGCCCTTCCTGGGCAGTCTTCGGTGTGGTCAGGCTGCGGCCTGCTTCAGCAGCGGCGGGGGACCCAGACCCCCTCGCGTCATGAAAAAAACACGACGGGAGGTTTTTCGCTATTTTCGGCCTTCTGGCGGGACCGTCAAAAAACGACTCAGGATGAAAAACCGGTCCTGGGGAATGGGTCCAGACCTCTGGGGGTCGCGTCATGAAAAAATCATGACGTCGGGGTTTGGGGAGGCGGCGGCGGTCACACCGCCGGAGAGTGGGCCGGAGCGGCCGCAGACTTCCGTCGCGGTGCCCTGGACCTGGTATTGCGGCCTCCACGGGAGCCGTGGCGGCTGAGGCTGCGCCAGCGCCATGGGGCGCCATCGCCGGCTGACTTGCGCCGGCGGTCGCGGCTGCGGCTCTCGGAGCGCTCGCGCGCAGGTGGCATCGCAAGAGGCCTGCGATGCCATAAGAGGGATGGGTCTAGCTTGAGACGTGTGTTCGGCCGGCTTGGCGAAACGCTCCGGACGCAAACGGCTCCAGTCGGCCCGGATTAGTAGGTCGACCCTGCCAGCTCAAGGGTACTCTTGTGTCTTGTGCCTCGCGACATGTGCCGTCTTACGATCCCGTGGCAATGTGGCCCTCGGAAAGGTCTTGTGTGATGATGTTCCAACCTACTTCAGCCTGGATCACCAGACAGAATTTCGAGCACCAGGAGAGTACCGAAATTGGAGGGTTTTCACGTGTCGGGCCCTGGGATACACTCGTTCGACACTGTTTCGACACTCTTTCGACACTTTTCCGGGTGCTCGTAATTATTCCTGGGATGTGGTCCTTGAGTGCGATGGGAACAGCATAAGTCTTGTGTCTTCGCGCGTGTCCTCTCCAATCAAGTCCGACTGAATGCGGGGGGGAAGGATCAAGCAGCGGCGAAGCGTCCTGGCTCGCCTATAGCCCTACCAAACAATGTTCTAAGAACCTTTTGTGATTCCACGAAATGTTTGTAAAACATTTCTGGTTGAGATTGTCTGGTTTTAACACATCGGGTTTCTGTTCTAAGAGTTTATGTTCTTAGAACATTTTTGGGTTCTCAGATCATTTCGTGGTAGGACTATAGGAATGCCGGGACGGTCGGTCCCTGCTCAAAAGGGGAAAGGGCAAGGTGGGAGGTCATCACTCCGCGCCATTATCCTCGCGCCGCAAGGTGGCCCAGCAGCAAGCACGGTCGCCTTCACGCTCACGCCCCCCTTGCATCGGTGTTTCACATGGCCCCCTCATCGGGCGCCCAACGAGGAGGAGGAGGAGGAGGAGGAGGAGGAGGAGGAGGAGGAGGAGGAGGAGGAGGAGGAGGAGGAGGAGGAGGAGAGGGAGGAGGGGGTGGACATCCAACTATCAGTCGGCAGGTTGTAACTTCAGTGCAACTTCTCGGACCACCTTACATGTTGGCCGCCATGCGCCTGGCTAAGGCAAAGGGTAAGCACCTAGCCGATGCATCTTGCTGGCTTGACCGTGGCCGGTACTATCCGCAGGACTTCCTACATTCGAAAGGCGAGGAGGGCCAGAGGAAGGAGGGAAGGGAGAGGGCAGGCAGGGCGAGGCAACGACGAGAGGGAAGGAGGGAAGGGCGCTCGGCACCTGTGCTCGGCCCGGAGGCTCGGCACCTGCACTCGGCACCTGCGGCCAGCGGCCGGGAGGTGGAGGAGGGGGAGGAGGAGGAGGAGGAGGAGGAGGAGGAGGAGGAGGAGGAGGAGGAGGAGGAGGAGGAGGAGGAGGAGGGAGGAGGGGAGGAGGAGGAGGGAGTATGATGAAGAGGGCGACGGAGGGAGTAGGGGTAAGTCGGGCCTGCCCCTCTACCTGGGGGACTATGTTTGAAGTATTTGTTGGCATCTTTAGGATCTTTTTTGAGTATGTTTCGTTTTTCGTCCAAAATCCCCCTGTATGGGGGACAGGCCAGACCTAAGAGTAGGGAGGATGACGGCGAGGGAGGGAAGGACGAGGTTGAGGGATGAAGAGACAGATGAGGAACAGGAGGAGGAGGAGGGGGAGGGGGAGGAGGAGCAGGAGGAGGAGGAGGAGGAGGAGAAGGAGAAGGAGGAACATGAAGAGGAGGACGAGGCAGAAGATGAGGAGGATTGTGATATGACTATGGGGGACTAGCGATGAGGAGGGATGGGCAGGACGACGAGGGGAGGGGCCTGAATGGGGCCCTGGAGAAATTCTAGCTTTTGCTTGGGGCGGTATGCGGGAATCGGGGGATGACACGCGGATGAAAGGGATGGGAGGAGGAGGAGGAGGAGGTGGAGGACGACGACAAGGAAGATGAGGAGGAGGAGGAAGAGTAGCAGGAGGAACAGGAAGAGCAGGCTCGTCCGCCTCCTTCCTTGCTTGCGCTCGTCCACTTCGGTGTCCTCCTCGTTCCGCATTCTCCTTCACTCATCCTCCTTCTCCTCTCCCTTAACACTCTTCTTCCTTCGCCCCTTCACCTCCTTCTTTCCCCCCCCCTCCCATCCCATCCTCTCGCCTTCAGCTCCCCTTCCGTCCTCCCTCCTGCCTCCACATTGCCCCCCCCCCTTACCTCATCCTCCCCTCGCCCTTCCCCCTTCCCCACTCTGCCCCTCTCCCCCCCGTGATCGCTGTCCCTCTGCCGTGTGATGCATGTGGCCTTCGATCGTTCGCTGTGTTTTCGGACCCTCGTTCGGTCCCCGCTCGCCTGTGTGCCGAGTGGTTTGGGAGTGGACGGTTGACTCTCACGCACTTCCAGGTAACTATCTCCTCCCCGCAACCTTCCCCTTCCCCTCTCCCTGCAGCCTCCTTTTCCCATCCCACCTCGCCCCTCCCCCCCCCCCCTTCCCCTCTCATCTTCTCCTCCTCCCTCCTCCCGCGTCCCTCTGTCCTCCTTCTTCTCTCCTTCTCCCGTCCCTCTCTTCTCCATCCCTCCTCCCTCCCTTCTCCTTTCCTCGCCCACCTCATCGACATCCGCTCCCCTCCTCTCCTCCTCCCCCACTGTCTTCGTAATTATCATGTCCATGCTTGGCTATTTTGTTGCTGATGTTTCTCTCTCTTTCTCTCTCTCTCTCTCTTTTATCCTCCTCGTCCTCCTGACTTCTGATTCCTCCGTCCTCTAGCTCCTTCCTCTTGCTTCTTCGTCCTCGTTTCTCCGCCCTGCCATCCTTTGCTCCTCCCTTCCTCTTCTTCGCCACCTCTGGATCCCCAGGGACATCTGAAACGTGCCGAATGTACACTGTCAACGCCTCTCGGCAACCGCCAATCCTTGTCAAGATCGCAACCACCGTTCACCATTCAGTATGAGAGATGTACGGACACGTCGCTCCTTCCCCCCATCTCCTTCCCCTCTCTCCCCGTGCCTGTCCTACCTCCCGCGCCTCTCCCTCGTCCCTCTTCCCTGCGCGCTCCGCCCTCCTCCCTCCTCGTGCGCCGGCGACGACGACGCTCCCCTCTTCCTCGCGCGCCGACGACGCCGACGCCGACGCCGACGCCGACGCCGCCGCCGCCGCCGACGACGACGACGACGTCGACGTCGACGACGGCCCCAGGCCTGGAGCCAGAGCTTCCCGGGGGAGCCGTGCCCGCCGTGGGCGGTGGAGGCCATCCCCGAGGAGGAGTTTGCGCGGATAGGCCCGGGCGCCCCAGGGGGCCGGGGAGAAGCGAAGCCCCTTGCTGGTGCTGAGGTTGCTGACCCTCCTGCTCCTCCTCCTCCCTCCTCTCCTCTTCTTCCTCCTCCTCCCTCCTCCTCCTCCTCCTCCTCCTCCTCCCTCCTCCTTCTCTTCCTCCTCCTCCTCCTCCCTCCTCCTCTTCCTCCTCCCTCCCCTTCCTCCTCCCTCCTCCTCTTCCTCCTCCCTCCTCCTTCCTCCGCTGCGCGCGCCGAGGGATCAGGCACGAAGGCGCATCGCTGCCTCGGCCCTCGACGGGCTTCTGGAGGCCTCCGGGGACCTGCGGGGGGCCTCCCAGAGAGAGCCCTGGGCGCCTTCATGGCAGGGACTCCCGGATCCTGGAGGCGGAGGAGGAGGAGAAGGAGGAGGACGAGGAGGAGGAGATTTGTCGCCTCCAGCGAGGCCTCCAGGCGGGGCCCCGTCGCCCAAGCGGGGTCTGCCTCGGGATCTGGTCGGGACGCGCCTTCGAGTAGGAGTCTTTGCGCCTTCGGTCTCGCCCTAGGTGTCGAGGAGTCTTCGGCGCGCGCCCGTCGTCGTCCGCGGCGGCGGCGTCGTCGGTGTCGGCGTCGTCGTGGGGGACGTCGGAGGGTTAGGGAGGCAAGCTACAGCGCTCGCGCCCTGGCTGACATCTTGGGATACCACTCCCACTCGTCTCTCCCCACTGCACCTATTCATGCTGCGCCCGCCGACTAGAACGTGCTAGAGGGCCTTGCCTCCTCAAATTGACATCACCCTCACCTCACCCTGTCGCGGCAGCTGCCCAACTTCTTCGTCGTGGTCGGAGGTCAGTGTAGCGGGGCGTGAAGCACCAGCCCTTTCTGGTCGCACGAAGATGAGGATTGATGAAGGCGGTTGGAGGAGGAAGGGAAGGATTATGGTACAGGGGGGAGGAGAAGGAGGAGGGATGCAGGATTGACGGTGCCGTGGAGAAAGAGGGAGCGTGAAATGAACGGAGGAAAAGGACCATGAACAGGAGAAGGAGGTCAAGAGGATCGGGCGAGAGAGGGATAATTGATGAGGAGACGGAGGATGTGGGGGGAGGAGGAGGAGGAGCAGGAGGAGGAGCAGCAGGAGGAGGAGGAAGACGAAGAGAAGGAAGAAGACCAGTGTAGGCCCAAGAGTCAGCATTGATGTTGGAGTAAACCCCTCCAAGCACCCTCTTCATGGCCCCTTCAACGGTTCATGTCCATTGATGGAACTGCCTCGTTGGAAAACACTTTTTTGAAGACCCTGAAGCATGCCAAAGCATTGTTCTCGGGATTCCAATGCCACGGATCAACCTGACTGTTGCATCTCGACAATCCTGAATCGTGCCAGAACGCCATTCCTGGGACTTCAACAGGGATTAACGTATTTGTTGCACCCGCAAAATCCTGAGTCCTTCCAAAACACCGTGTCTGGTACGGTGACGATGGGAATCCGTGAAACTTTTGAAATGTGTGTAAACGAATGTGCGCGGCGCTAAGGCGAGAGCCACATTCTGAAAAGCTTCCGCCCTCAATCCTTGAAACTCTTGCAGTTTTTTTTTTTAAGACGGATTTGCGCCGCGCTAAGCGAGAGCCACATTTTGAAAACCACCCGCCCTCAGCCCGTGAAACTTTTTGCAAATTTGAAAACGAATGTGCGCCGCGCTAAGACGAGAGCCACATTTTGAAAACCATCCGCCCTCAATCCGTGAAGACCTTGCAATGTTTGCAAACAAATGTGCGCCGCGCGAACGAGAGCCACATTTTGAAAACCACCCGCCCTCCAAGCTTCATAATCATACATGATGAGGAAGTCTTAGGCGAAACACCCAGCCCGCCTTAAAAACTGGCCTTGGGGTGCGACAGGAAGAATTAATTTCTAAGGAAGAGGAATGGAGGGGGGAGGATGGAGGTGGATGTTCAAATGACGGAGGACGAAGGAAGCAGGGATGTAGGAGATACGGAGGAGAAAGAGAAGGAGAGAGAGAGAGAGAGAGAGAGAGGGCGGATGATGACATGTCAGGCGTGACGGGGTGCAGGAAAGGTGGAGCAGACATCTCGGAGAAGGCGTGCTTCGCCGCCCCTGCCGCCGCGGCAGGCTGGGACTTCCACGCCAACCGGGTCCAGATCAGGAGCAGCACGGCGCGGGGGGTGGTCGGCGACTCCGTCGCCGCTCTCGCCTCAGCGGTGCCGGGGGGGCGTTTACTTTGGGGGGGGTTCTCGCCGCCACGGCTGGGCGCGGCTCGAAACGCTGGCCCTTGGCATCGCTCGGACGTGTGCATTTTTTCCTTGGCGAGGGCCATCGAGGAGCATCCTCGATCATTTGGCGAAAAAACCACGCACGAAACCGAAAAAAAACACAGGGAGTGGACGTCCGAGCGATGGCCAGGGCCGGGGCAGCTTCCGGCAGGGGTCCGGGGGCCGCTGCTCCGCAGCTCACCGCTCGGGTGGTTGCCAAGGGTGCCCCAGCCCAGGGGCCCAGGGTGGTTTCACGTGTCTTCTCGGGAGGCCCAGGGGGCCACGAGAGCACCTCTCAGGGAGCGAGCGCCCCTCGGTGCTGGCTGGGGGTTCGCTGTTGTCCTGCTGCGTTCTCCTCGCCCGGCGCCGTCCAGCAGCAGCTCCAGTCTGGCGCCCCGCACCGCCGTCAGACGCCGTGCATTTGGCGGAGGCGAGCGCTTGAGCTGAAAAAACAACATCAGCAGCTCGGTCTTCATCCACGACGCTGGGTGCAGTCAGCACTGACGCGCCCCGTTGTGATGTTTCTTTTATCGCGGCTGGTGCCACGTTGCCGGCGAAGGGGAGAGGTATGGTCGGACCAAGGCATAAGAGCGAGGTCGGTTCGGGGATGGTGCCCTAATATTCTTCGTGTTTGTTGGATGCTCTTGTGCACCCTTCGAGTAAGGGATCGACTGCAGAATTCATTCCCCCGAAAATTGATTTCCCCGCCGAATCCACAGACACATGCGTATACTGTTCCGTCAATCTGCGAATCTTCTACGCGTTTCTTGTACATTCGGCGGGAAAGTCACTTTTGGAGTAAATCGCTTCTGTAGTTGATTCCCTAGTCGAACTCTGGGGAGGGCACCCCAGGATGTTCTGTGTGCTGGGGCCGGCGGAGGTGCTTCTCTGCAGAGTCCTGGGCCCGCGCCGGCTGCACCCTCCTCCCCCGCCCTGCGACGAGGAACACGGGCGGCTCCCTGTGGGAGTCCGTGTCCTACCTCCTGAGGGGCGACCAGTCCACCGCCTTCGCCAAGCCGCCCACCGCCGAGGAGGTCCTCGACGCGTTCGCCCGGACCAGCGGCCGACAGCCTGCGACGAGGGGCCCCGCGCCCCTGCCGGGGCGAGAAGCCGTCTGGGGGTGCCTCCTGGACCCCTCCTCGTGGCCCTCCCGGTCCATGCCGGGGCCACATTGGGGCCCTCTCAGAGCGCATCGGCAGCGAACGTGCCAGAAGGCAGCCACCACTGATCTTCTTCAGGTTGTTGAAGGATTATGGCCTCTTGGGGGGGAGGGGACTTGGGGGGCTTCGAGGACACTGCGAGCCGACCTGGAGCGGTGTTTCGGGCCTCTTGGAGCATGTTCGAAGCCATCATGAGCCATTTTCCGCTATCTTGGGCCATCTTTGGAGGCCTCTTTGGGGCGCCCTGACCGCTCGCGGAGCCTCCCACAGCGTCTCAGGGAGCGGAGGGAGAGGGTACCTCGCCCCGAGAAGAAAAGTGTTTTTTGGGAGAGGAAAGAAAGACATCGTTAGACCACCTGCGCCCAGAGGGCTGGTGGGATTGAACGATGTGCCGCGTACATGGTGCACATGCCGAAGGAACTGCCGGATCCCCCCCTAATACTCCCGCCCCCTACCATTACGACTGTTGCTACTGCTTTTATTGTTTCCTGCTGCTATCACTGCTGCTGCGATTACTACAGCTGCTACCCTGTTCCTCCTCCTCCTCCTCCTTCTCGTTCTCTTCCTCCTCCTCCTCCTCCTGCTCCGCCTCCTCCCCTCGCATGCATCGCACTCGAAGCTCACCTCGGCCGTCTCCTCCTCCTCCTCTTCCTCCTCCTCCTCCTCCTCGTTGGCCACTCGCGCGCGGTGCAGGGATTGAAACATAGACACCCGAGGACGGCGGCGAGCCTGGAGCGCGTGGGGCGGCAGGGGGGCGCCTAGCCGCACTGAGGTCGCCACCGGCAGCTTGTTAACGTCGTCGTGCGTCGCCGTCACACCGTCGCCTGGGTCGCCAGATGGAAGGGGAGGTTACGTTGCATCTTCGGGGGACCTCGCCTGTCCCCAAAATTGGTGTCTTTTCTTGTGCCCGACGCGGGCTCGATGCGGACTCGACGCAGATTTGGCGTGGATTCGGCGCGGATTCGACACGGATGCGACACGGATCCGACGAGGCCGACATGGGTTCGACACGGATTCGACGCGGATAGGGCCGCGACGGGACAGACAAGGTCCCTTTAAGATGCAACACACGGGAGGGGGAGGAGGACGGACCTTGAGATTCGGGCGTTGCCACTCCTTCAGACTGGGCGCTTTCGCACAGTCACGGGCCCCAGGAACATCACGGATCGGGTCGGCTCGGTCGGGCTTGTACAACTTGAAGCAGGAAGGCTGGGTCCATGTTTCCAGCAGCAGCAGAAATATTAGAGATTGCAGCAGGAAGATGGGAAATCGCATCAGGAATTCCTGTCGTGATTGTTGATCATGTTTTCATTGGTTACTTCAGTATGTCCCCCAAGAACTGCTCAGTGCTGACGCTGCCTGGTAGCATTAGCGATAAAACGAAGCCCGCTGCGGCGGCACTTCGTCTCTCATTTCCGAAGGTTGGCCTCGGTGTGGACGTGAGTCTCGACTATTGCCTAGACATCGAAACCCGAATCATCGAAATCCGAATCATCAACCCAAGACCACACTTTCTCCCCCATGCATGCGATACTATAATGCAATGCGCATGACATGCCATTTCTCCCGCCCCTCTCAGGCTGCGACGCCCGAGCTCTCAGCTCTGATCCGGAACCTGGTCATGGCGATGCCGCAGCCAGCGTGGGTGGAAATTCAGGGGGGGAAAAAAACACGCAGGCACAATGAATCGTCGGTTCCCCAGAAAGTATGGGGAAATATGGGAGGTGGGGGGGAGACAAAAAACCCAGAAAATAGGAGAAAATATGGGGCATCTGTTTATTTTGTGTGTATTTCTTTGTGTGTCCCAGGGCCCCTTCAGAAAAATGCTGAGGCACTCTAGTCGCCGCCCGTGCCCCTGCCCTTTTGCTCCTCCAACTTCACCGCCAGCCTGCCTGCCTGAAGTTTGGCCGCCGATCTTCCGGAGGGGACAAAACACACACAGCCACAATGAATCGTCGATTCCCCCGAGAATATGGGAAAATATGGGAATTGGGCGGGAAGACAAAAACCCAGAAGATATAGGGAAATGTGGGGCATCTGTTTATTTGTAGGTATTTGTTTGTGTGTCCTGGGGCCCCTTCAAATTTGGCCGCCGATCTGCCTCGGCTGCGATCTCCCTGGCGGATGGTTCCTGCGAGCTGCTTGCCGTGGGCTTGGCATCGCTCGGACGTGTGCATTTTTCCTTCGGCGAGGACCATCGAGGAGCATCCTCGATCATTTGGCGAAAAAACCACTCACGAAACCGAAAAAAACACAGGGAGTGGAGGTCCGAGCGATGGCGAGTCCTCCACTTCACCGCCAGCCTGTCTGCCTGAAATTTGGCCGCCAATTTGCCTCGGCTGCGATCTCCCTCGCGGATGGTTCCTGCGAGCTGCTTGCCGTGGGTGCCGCCGCCGCCGCCCCTTGGATCGTGCCGTAGCCCATGCACTCGCCGCCGCCGGAGCTGCCCCTTGGGAGTTCTGGCCGCCACCTGCAGCTTCAGCTCCATCGTCAGCCCGAACTCCCATGCCATCTCCTGAGCGGCGCCTCTTCTTCGTGCGGTCGGTGATGTCCGAGAGAGCGCATTCTGCCGCTAGCTTTCTGTCGGGCCTGTCCCTCTACAGGAGGATTTTTCGAAGATAGTCAAACAATAGTCTGGGACTATTTTTTGATTATTTTCGTGAATCTTTCGAGTATGTTTGAAGTATTTTTAATTTTTTGTCCAAAATCCCCCTGTGGGGGGACACGCCCGACCTAATGCTAGCTACCGGCAGGCCTTCCCCCCCGTTCGAACTGGGGGGGGGAGGGCGGCAGGAGCCTCCCATTCCGAACTGAGGGCCCCCCCCCCTCTTGGTTCGAACCTGCGAGGGATGGGGTTGAAAGGGCCCTCCTTCCACCCCCCCCAGTCTGAACAGGGAGGGGGGCGGGGGAGGGGGGGATTTCATGACAGGTGGATGCAGCCCGAGTGGGGTATTTGGTGGATCGAGCCCCGAGTAGGGTTGCATTAGGGCTGGATCGAGCCCGAAGAGAGTGTTGTCAGAGCTGGATCGAGCTTTCGCCGGACTCTATTAGAGCTGGATCCAGCCTCAGGATTCGATCAGAGCTGGACCGAGCTATTGTAGTATTTCATTAGAGTTGGATCCAGCCCTGGTAGTACTAGGACTCTATTAGAGCTAGATGCAGCTTGTTTGGGTCTCTAGCAGGGCTCGATCGTAAACGAGTAGGATGTTATTGGAGCTGGATCCAGCCCTAGTGGCAGGATTCGATTAGAGCCGATTCGAATTCCCTCCGCCCCGGTTCTGCTGTATCGGTCTCCTTCGCCTCGGCGTTCTCGAGCGACTTCCTGAGACGAAGTACGTCACAGCTTAAGTACGTCACAGCTTGGTGATGGTGGTCCGCGTCGCTGTACTGGCCGTCAGACCTCTTCAGGACGGACCCCCACCGGCGAGACGGACTCCCTGTCCGGGTTGTTGGCCTCTTCTTTAAACTAGAAGACCTGGATGTGGAGGGTCTGCTTCAACTGCTCATCCGTGGTGGCGGCGGCCTCACGCTGCAGGAGAGACAGCTCACTGTCCCCGCTCTGCCGTTGCTGGCCATTCCGCCCTGGCTTGCGACTCCCCATGCCATCATGGCCCGCACCCGCTCCCCGCCCCGCTCCGATTCCACCATCGTGTGAGCCTCCTGGTCATCCTCGAAAGTCACCTGCTTGCCACGCTGTGGTTTGAACAATTTCACGACTGAGCCACATGACGAGAGCAGATCTAATTCTGCGGGGCTATTCTGTCATTGAGGAATGAGTGCCGCGGGGGAGGGGCACAGAGGAATGAGCTCCGCCAAAATGGTTCGAGCCCGACCACTGGAGAAAAGGAGGGAACAGGAGAGGGGACGGCGAGAGGGATGGGGGAGGAGCCTGAGCTAAAGGAGGTGCAGTATGAGGTGCGCTGGCCCAGACCTCCGACGCCATCATGCGTTCACGACGTGCCTCCCCAGACGTCCGGACCTCCAGGGGACGGGTCGATCATCCTGAGCAGTTCCTTGCTTGTCCCCGGGATCGGTATGGGGCCTCCAGGGGACGGGTTGATCATCCTGAGAAGTTCCTCGCTTGCCCCCGGGATGGGCATGGGGCCTCCGGGGGCTGCATGCAGCCGAACACCTTCCGTCATCTGCTCTCCAGGCAAGGGGTTGCTCTGAGGAGCTTTTCTCCTGCTGGTGGGCAGCTGCTCTCCAGGCAAGGGGTTGCTCCGAGGAGCTTTTCTCCTGCTGGTGCGCAGTCGGATGGGTCCGCCGAGGCGTCGCCTGGCGGACGCCCGGTGGGCGCCTCGAAGGGCTCCCCGTGCGCTGGCTGCGTCTGCCGAGGTGTCGCCCGCTCCGCGCCCCGTGGGCGCCCCGTGGGAGCCCCGCGCCGGCCGGGGCCGCCGAGGTGTCGCCCGGTGGGCGCCCGTGGGCGCCGCCGGGGGTCCGCCGAGCGTCGCCCGGCGGCAGGCGGCCCGTGAGCGGCCCCGTGCGCTGGCGGGGTCCGCGGAGGTTTCGCCCGGTGGGCGCCGAGGGGCGCCCGCGTGGGGTCTCCTGTAGACTGCGCAGAGCCCAGACCCCCTCGCGTCATGAAAAAATCACGGCGGGAGGTTTTTCAGTATTTTCGCCCTCTGGGGGCCCTCACCTGGCCTCGGGACCGTCAAAAAACGACTCAGGATGAACAACCGGTCTGGGGGAATGGGTCCAGACCTGAGGGGGTCGCGTCATGAAAAAATCATGACGTCGGAGGTCTGAGAGTTGCCTGCACCACGTAGGTTGCACGACATGGAGGATAGCGCATCGCGCGCACCAGAAAGAGAAAGATTGCACCACAGC